TTGACGGTGCAGCCGGTAATTAATTAGGATTTAATGAAACTGCATTTTTTCATTCACTTCCATACAATTGAACGTTCGATCTCTTCTGGGAAACTGAAAATTCCTTTGCTTTACATTCCGTTGCAGAAGTATTAACTGTAAATCGCAATAATTTATCAGTAGTCATGATACTTCTTTTTGTGCGATTTTCTCCGTCGTATACATTTCAGGATCCGTTTTATTGCACTCCAGATCCGTTACATGACACTATTACATTATCCGTTTGCGATGCGCCGCATCATGCTTCGTAAGTGTATCCATTAAACTCCACGATTTTTACTTACGATAGTCTTTACAGAAGCTTGGTACGGAACAATATTTTATCAACATCAACAGAGGGTCTAGCGAGAGGGCGCAGTAGTTAGGCGATCATTGATAATAATGTTTATTCGGCAATCTGATCGACGTTAGTATTCCTCGATACATTGCGGAAGCTGTTTAAATACATATAACAGGTTTACGAGCTTGGCATTTCGTGTAGCCGCATCACGCTTGAAATTATCGATCGTTAGATCGTGTAATTTAATTATCCTCGTTAATCTCATTCTTCGACGCTAATTGCGCATGAACGTCGAGTCGTACGGTAATTAGCGGATATTATTTCGGCAGAGTGGGACAGAAACAATATATTTGTTTTTTTGTCAGTATTTTGCATTTAATTATTGTTATTATTTCAATCATTGAACGATTAATCATTAATTAATTAAATATTGAGATAATTACATAGAATTTTGAACTATTCCTAATCGGATTGTAGTAGTACCTTTGCCTTTTTGACAGTATTTTGCATTTAATTATTATTATTATTTCAATCATTGAACGACTAATCATTAATTAATTATATTGAATGAAATTAAGTTTATTTTCGCTACAATATTTTGCTTGTTCTACTTTGCCGAAATAATACCAATTAGCAGGTGTAAAATATCGAATTACACTTGCGTGTAATTCGCGTTTCTGTAAGTTTATTATTTGTTACAACGACGACGGGATCGAAATTCTTGAAACTTCTCGAGATTCTAAAAAAACGAATTCTCAAATCCTTCGCCGATCCTTCGTACGAAAGGATCCCTAACGATCTCTACCTCATTACCCGTGCGTTCACCTTCGAAGCGACTAAGCAATCAAGATGTTCCCCTCGTTTCGTATAAAACAACGACAATCGTTATTTTTCTGACGATATTATGGAAAGTTCGTCGAACGATTCTGCGCGAGAAAAAAGTTTAGCCGTCTCGGAGGAGCTTTGCACGTATCGTATACGGTCGTTCGAGGTCCGCGCCACGGCTCACGAACAACAATCAACCACAGGGACCCTGTTACGTTACGGATCCAGTTTTTCGTGGAACTTTACCTCCATCACGGTTTAACGATCGAGCCGTCGCATCTTCGTCGGTAAATCCTCTCCGCGTATATGCGAATGGAAAAACGAGATGCGTTTTCCTTCGCTCTAGCAAGCAGCGGCCCAGCAGGGTGATCGCTCAGGTAGATCTGACGCGAGGGCAAAAACCATCAGTCCTGTAAAAGGTTTTCACTCATCTTATTACCTTTCATTTGAATTTCCTACGGAATAATTGACGGTGATCGGATCGACGTCTGTAAAAATACCCTCGTCCTTCTTTTTTTACTTCTGAAAAATCGACGATCTGTCAGACGCTTCTCGCGATCCTCGATTACCCTAACAACATCGTCCGATAAGAGAAAATCACGTGAAAACCTCTTCCTCCTCGTTTCGAATTTCCGGTCAGCCGGCTTCCAACTAACCGCGCGGCACGTGGAGCGTCGATTTTTGAGTGGCACCGATCGATCGTGATCCATTGCGGTGGTCAGGAACGGCCGATTGTGTCCCAGGAGGGACAGAGCGAGGAGAGAAGCGCGAGCCAACGAGCGTCCTTGCCCGCAGCTCCGAACTGGTTATGTCAAACAGCCGGCTGGTGTACGTTGACCTAACCTGCTTTTCAGCCCTGCCGTCCGAGCTGCACGATCAGATCCTGGCAGGGTGCCCCAGCTCGCCTCTAAATGCCACTTTTTTAGCCGACCACTTCCGGCTTTTCGAGCGTCCGAGACTCGTTCATCAACGCGTCGCATTACGGTCTGTCCCTCGTTCGATGTCCCTGTTTTTTGCTCGTCCATTTCAATCCTCCACCGAAGCGGTGGATCATCGTCCCTTGATCGTGCATTTGTTTAGGCCGATGGTCCACGGCTGGAGGGATCAATGATCGAATTTAAAGGGGTCTCTCGAGAGAGAATTTTGATTTTATTGCAAGTCTAGTGGCGCCAGAGTCTGGAGAACGATAGCAACCGAGCGGATGAATGGTGGAACGATAGCTACGTCAGCTTATTGCTCGAGCGTGCTGAATAATTTATTACACCTCGAGTGTGTCGTGCTGGCAATACGTATACGTTATTACTGGAACGCGTACAAAAGCTCGAGGGATGGTAAGTGCGGCAGGAAGTGATCGGTTTCGGTGGCCGTCGATTAAAAACGCGGCCCCACCAGCTCGCTTTAGGTTTATTAACTTCAATCCCGATTATATGCTTAATTAAATGCTATAAACTTTGAACTGGCATTTGCATAAGCTGCCATATCGTGGCGTTAATCTGTATTTATGCGCGACAAATAGGATAAACCGAGCGGCGTATTTGCTGCCGCTGTTCCACATAATTAGTGATACTAATTAATGGCTGGTACCCCGAGGTAATTATGCCGAAGAAAACACGGCTGGCCCTGTACTCTCAGCCCCCCTCTGTTGGCTACCTCCAATGCCATTTATATCGGCTTTAGTTCGTCTCTCTTTTCTTATTCTTTTTTTCAAACAGTAGGGGCGTGAAATCCTCTCACAATATGCGGTGACACTAATGGAAATTGATTTTGATTTCAAACGATATTCCGAACTGAACTATAAATTTATTCTTCGATTTCTTCTTCGTAAATTATCATTCGTTTAAAAGTTGAAACGTCTCTGTCGAAGACTGATGATCGGTTAATCAAGACACCGTACAGATAGATTAAAGTGCTTTTCTGATCGTATCTTAAATTGCGAATTAGGAAAGTTATCCGTCAGCAGGATGGCGAAGAAGCTTAATGACTGGGTACAACTGCTGAAGTTTCAGCTCTTTCTCTTTTCATTCGACGTATAGAATGAGCATTATCTAGAAGCACCGGGAACGATGTAAATCATTTTTGCGCATTTATCGGCAACAACACGGGTACAAATGGTACGTACAGAGCGTGTACGATCGTGTTCCCTCTTCGTGCAATTACGTAAACGGCCCGACGACTTTCTCATCTTACCGTCGCTTGTCGCATGCTAATGATCATTGTAAATGATAATTCCACCGTGTATACGACGGTTTTGATTTTCTCTTATTACCGGCAACATCGAATTCGCAAAATATCCCTTACGAAAGATCCTAGAAGGGAAAACCGCGCAGTGGTCACGGTTCCGTAACGAAACATTTTTCGATTCGATCGAAAGGAAACGGAGCCGAAAGCTCCGACGCGTATCGTGTCAGGCATTGTTCCGCGTTCGAATAGGCTGATAGTTATCTAGTTAAAGTAACGCGTATCGGACACGCGCGAAGGAAAGAATTCTTATAGCGTGTTTTTGATCGAAAGAAAACGCATCGGGAGTTCTCGAGGCCGATCGAACCTGACGGATATCCAACGGCCACGTGCTATCAGAATTTCAGATGACGAGGCTGATGAAAATTTATTGAACGTTCGACTCGGAAAGGCTAGACAAATTGTTGGACGAAGCTCTCAGCGAGCGTGTCGCGCCGTTCAATTTACGAGACAACAGCACCTGTTCTTTATTTATTTATAAAATGAATTTCAAGCGTTCACCTGCAGTGTTCAGCTTCGGTATTTCCGAGTTTGATGTTGGCCTCAGCTGAAGTAAATAACCCTTTGGTGTTTTCACAAAACACATTAGTTATTGTAAATTTATGATATTTACACTGGCAAGTGTTGCTTGTTAAAAAGAATCAACGTATAAATTATTGAGATACCTATTCTTTTTTAATATTTTACGTCGTATTTTATTTCTAATTAAAATATTATAAATGTTAGACCTTGTGATATTGAGAGCAATGTTTCTGCATGATTTCTTTAACAATGTTGCATCCGGTGATCGATATCTGACATGTCGGAGAAGAGGGTGAAATCGGTATAGTTGAGGTATAAAACGTGACGGAAGATCACCTGTCGTTACCTATTAGTCAAGGAGAGCTAGTAATTATTAGCAGACGACTGGTAGCCATTAGCGTTAAGGAAATATCCCATCTGACACTCGACACCGTTACGCCTCGGGCGTTATGAGTTATGCTTCGTCGGGGTTCGATAGCTCATTGCCGGTTATGAATTTTGATATCCATTCTGTAATTATCAGCAAGTCGTGCGTTAAAAGGTATGCGGGTGAAAAACTGATAAGGTGCGTAATTTTTTATTATGCACAATAACTTCACTCTCTCCATTCTGATCTTGCTTCATCCAGTGCAGAAATATTAGAAATTACATAATACAGAGAGTTTGTGAAGGAATTGTAAAAATTGAAAGTATTTCTCATCTTATCGCATGAAATATGTCGAAAATGTCGGTTTTTGATTTTTCTCGGTTTGACGCAACAGAATGAAAAATTGGAAATACTTACCATGCTAAAAAGTAGCGCCGATTTTTTACGCGTAGGATTTGCAACCGAAAAATCTGAAAAAATTCACAATCATAAAGAAACATGTCTAGAATATTCTAGAATTTTTTCAGATTTTTTGATTACCAATAAATAGGAAAAATATGGCAAAAACCGTTTTTTCGATTTTACCCTCTAACTACCCTTCCGATTGAAATACAGAGTTGAAACTTGGTGTATAACGGGTTTTTTTATTAAGCTATCAAATGGTGCATAGCTCAATAAAATCTTATCCTGCTAATTTATTCTAATCTGAATTTTCATTTTTCGTTGCAGCTAGATGCGTATCGACGAACTGAAGGATGTTCGCTAGACTCTGTAGACAGGCTCCGAATGGTGAGTGAAAAATTGGAATTTTTATTTTAAACGAAACAAGCAAGAATCATAGATCCCGTAAAATATCAGCTGTCAGAGCGTTTAAAATCGCGCGTATATTTTAACATGACTTAACATGACGCTTAAGAGTAAAACGAAAATGAAGAAAAAAAGAAAAAAGTAAGATTGAAATTGAAGAAGGAGTCTGTAAACACCGAGGTAGTTGGCCAAGTTGGTTGATGCCCGCTGGGTTGGAAGAAAAATCGAGCCAACCCTCTGGCCCAAACCCGACTCGGCTCAACTCGCGGTGAACCGGTGCTTTCGCTCGGGCATTGTAATTAATACGAGGAACAGTCTCGTTGCTCGGTGGCCCATCGCTGTGAACTTAGTCAGAGACAATGGGGGGACTCGTACGATATATCACTGCCGCCTTCGCATCCCTCTTATAGGTTCCATATACCATTTCTTAGCGTTAAGGCGCGCCAGCGGACGATCCGTCGTGATTTACAGTCGACTCCGGCTCCCGATTGTCCACTTTCCACGACTTATAATAAATAGAAACGTGCCCGTTACTATCCCTATACGGAAGTGATCGCACGATGATGAAACCCTCCCTCGAAACGATCCTAAAACTACATCCCTTCGTTGTGGATCGATTTTTTTTCTGAAAAGTATCCACATCGAGGATTTACGAGTACCTTTCCAAAGTGCTTTCGACTCGGAACGTCGAGGTATCAGAAATTCCGGAGATGGAATATCTTGGAAGGTAGCGCGCAGACGATCTTGAGTTACAAGACACAGGCTGCACTTCCGGGTGCGCAAGAGAGCCTAAGCCCTTTAGGTAGTAGCCATGAACAGAGCTTGTTGAACACGCCTTAACCTCGGTGACCTTGGCTTTGCGGTCTGGCCTAGCCAGACCTTGGTTATTAATACCAATGAAAAGGAATCTGCATGAGTTCTCTCGAATCTCAATCACCTCTGCTTCACCATTACGACGGGTGTATAGTATAATTATGTTCAGGGTGACATATTTTCTTCTGTGGAAATTTGTATAAAATAAGAGGACTCTCCGGACGGAATCCTCGATGTCCACATACCTATCTCTTAGTCGTCTTAGCAGCTCTTGGAGCAAGGTGTTAAAACTTGAAGAAATGATTCGACTCTTCATCAGACCACTCAATTCGAGCCTGATGCACGTTCTTATCACTCCCGTACAGATAGTCCAGCAAATGCCTGCTCTCGACACCAGTATCTCCTATCTGTACGTTTAAAAAGGGTCCTGGCAAGGAACGATGGTAATACCAGAGGTTCCTTGAACTGGTTACACGAAGAGGCGATAAGTGACGACACTTTGGTGGGCGGGAAACGTGGCTGGGACCAGGAACGGTAGCTCACATGATCGCACCGCGACGCTGGAAATGAGACATTAAAAGGACGGACTGGAACGCTTGTAATGGAGTTATTACATCGATGGTCAGTGACGCTGAAGAGGTCGCGACTAAAGGAAGAAGAGGAAAGTGGCATTCCACGAAAGTCCGATAGCTAGAAGCCATGAACATTAATAGCCGGACGGTGTACACCGAGCGAAACGACTTTGTTAATGGATCCAGGATCGGTTAGAAGCCGCGGGTCGTTGCCTCGATCATTAATACAAACGACCAAACATCCTGACGGAATGTTTAAGAACGCGTTGCTTCTGTATCATACTAGAAACGGTATCGCGGTACGTAGCTATGCGCACGGTTCACTTGATCCGTCAGGATTCATTAGACTCGGCGTTTGCAATTAGACGGATAACGTTGCATAGTATTCGCTGGATCAAACCTGGGTTGCCAACTTGCCTTTTTTAGGACAAATTCCGAAAATTTGGCATTTTTTAAATTCGGTTGCCGTTTGTAGGAAATGCACTAACTTAGGATTTATTGTAAGATTTTATTGAAATCTAAGTTAAAGTATTGAACGCACAAAAGTCGGCAACAATATCGCCGCTCGCAACACAACTCGCAATTCTCTCTCGGCCTTGACCTCACCCACTCTCGGTTCATCAAACTCTCTTTATGCCTCGCCAAAACTTTCTGCCCGCGGGTCGAAAAACCTACCATCTAGGCCCTAGATTCTAGGACCACCCTCTCTCACTCATATCTACATACATTCAAACCTTAGCCTAAACAGTCACTCGCATTCGCTCAGCGCTAAGCTCTCGTCATTCGCACTATGCACCCACCCCGCTCATGCGACCACCCAGCTCGCGCACGAACTACACTTTGAAAGATTGATTTGGCTTTTCTCTAGCTTATCTCAAACACTTTTTGACTTAAACCCAAGATCTCGAGTTGGCAACCAAGGCAACATGACAGCTATTATCAGCTATTTGGAATGGACAAAAATGATCAGGTTACCGTGGTATCGAAATAATTTCTCTTCAAAGTTTACCCAAAGCAGTTGGCAGACTATTAAATAACACGGTGTACCTTTGATGAACGCTGAGGATGCTAAAGCCGTGTCAGTTTCATCAGGCAGCCTAATGACCCGGCCGATACTGTTACTCCTTGATGAAGTCTGTTGCACTTTTATCCATTAGCGAACCGCCTAGCTGGAGGAAACTGAAGGATCAATGGAATCTTAACGAAGCCACGCGTGATTCTCGTAAAACATTTGAATGTTCGAATGTTAGCCGACAGAGAACACGATGGCTGCCTAAGTCCCGACCGTTTGATAGATGTTCTCGAGCGGATCGGACACGTTCGAGGGAAGCAATCGTCCCTGAAGAATCCCGTGGACGACGCAAGAAGAAGAAGAGATTCACGGGCTGTTAAGAAGAAGGTGGTCTTAGGCGGCTTGTAGGTTGGCAGTTCTTCTATTAAGGCAGGTCGTGAAGCTGCTGTAAATCAAGACTCTCTCTTTCTCTCTCTCTTTAGATGTGTAAAAGTCCTCCTCAGGTTATTGCGCCACCTTGCAAACCGATGTACACGGGTATATCTACGCGTAATACAACGGTGTTTTATTTCATAACTAGACGTTCCGCGAAAGATCAGGAGGGAATGTAAAGAAGTGAAAGGATTGGGACGTTGTTTCTGCACGCGACCCGACCATTCTTTCATCTTCGCTCTTTGTTCTTTTCGTAAACGTCATCGATCTGGCTAATTTACACGTCAACTAGAATAAACGAGATTATGTGTTGAAACTGACGTACATTCTGATTAATTCTTTGGCTGTCAGAGTGCTAGGAACATAATACAGCTGACGTTACCTAAACTTCCTTTACTATGGAGAATGAAAATAGCGAGAGTTGTTGAATTGTATGTATGTTTTGGAGGTATATGGTTAAGGGCGATGAAATAGAAATTTCCTCACCTTATATTGCTTTGCGACCTGACGAGAGTCCACCCTGTATATAATCTGTAGTAAGGGTAACTTACCTGTATTTGCTCTTGTCACCAAAGATAGGTGTTTCCATATTTCTCTGTATATCTTTAAAACTATCGTAGATATAAAGAAATGGTTAAAATAAACATTGAATGGTTTTTCATGCTCTATAAAACGAGGCAATTAAATTGATCAAAATTCTTTGTTTCAATAAAAAAATTCCCTTGCCACTGTTATTTTGAAAAATTTTAAATTCTCTGTCACGTCGAAAAACACGTAGAACCTAATTATAAATGCAGATATGTATGCTAAATTTGTCGAACAATGTGGTATTTAAATAATTTTAACCGATACGTGCAGTTTGAATGTATGTGTGCGAGCACACATGTATAATATGTATAATATGTGTTTATTATAACCATTTTTTTATATCCATGATAGTTTTAAAGATATACAGGGAAATTTGGAAACACCTATCTACCTTCAGAGGGTGTTTTCACCCTGAAGAACTGAAATTGGGCCAAAAACAAAAATTGCGCTACATTTATATCGAGGTCCCCTACAAACCTGCAAAGTTAAAAAAAATTCGGAATGGAAACATTCTAGGTGTGTAAATATACATAGTTAGTTAGCAAAACGAGACGAACCAGACGAGTTCTCGAATAAATAATTTGCTTTACATCGAATTACAAAATTTTCTGCTTATTCCCGATTCTCCCTTAATCGGGTCACTTTCGATCCATCTCGGTTCTAATAAGAGTAGAGGGGTGTATAGTACAGAGCACTATAATTACAATTATTCAGGACACCATCGTTTCAATTTTCAATTTAATTCCCTAATTAACGTAATATTATCGCCATTTGAAATTTTCCCTCGGTCGTTCGCTCGTATCAAAGTCATATACCACTAATCACCGTGGCAATCAACGTGTTAATAACGAAATGCTTAAACGAAAGGTGCCTGGATGATTCACCCGTCCAAGGTTACATCGTGCAAATTATTTAAACGTTCTTGGTACTTATATCGCATTACGAATGTCAGAGATGGATCGTGATCGGGTTGAAAGAGGAGGTCGATCTTTGTTTTTCCACAGTAATGTGTCTGAATATCGTGGGTTCGATCGAGAAATTACAATGGCCGTTTTCTGCGACTTTTCGTCGATGGAAGGCGGCGATATGAGGAAGCGATTATGATTTTCGAGGCTGGTAGGTTCGCGTGCCGAGGTCGTGGTCCGTGCAACAGGCGTGGGAACGGCAACGTCCCCGAACTTTTAAAGCCTCGAATTAACTTCTTTTTCTTTCTCGCCGCGAAAAAGAGTTTCGACGCACAAATTGGTGAGAGCCTCCCCATACATCGAGGCCCGTTCCCCGCTCACGGCTTCCCGTAACGAGACCTTTTCGGTCACCCGTTAGCTGCCGCTCCGGGATCGTGCGAATTTTTCGACGATCCTTTCGAATCACGCGTGAACTTTGACCACGCGATCGAATGAAACCCCGTGAAATATTCGAATGATTCTGTGAAGTTAAAATTTACTAGAATTATTCACTATCGTGCTTGTAAGTCAACCTTCAACAACAAATACCCCAAGTTCTTCCTTCTATTCCTAATGATTCATCTCCAAACCTTATGATCTCATCCCTTACCGATCACTGGA